ATAGGCCGATGAATGAAATAAGTCCAACAACCAAGTCCATGAGCTACACCCGACCCAATTGTATTCCTTATGGATGGCTTGAATCTTGGCCCGTTTACCCCTTTAATGGCCCAACTTAAAGCCTAATCCTAGAGTATATATTTGGTTATAACCCTAACCACTTTCATATGATGTTTTGTGTGATTTTGAGAGAAGAACTAGTGAATCCCGGCTGCCCCTCTTTTGTGTGAGAAAAAGGTGTCCAGAAGTGTCCAGAACGCTAGTATAACGTGTGCAATTTGTGGTTCTTTCATAGTATACCTTTGTGGTGTCTTCTCCTAACCTTTGTGGCCATAAATCATCATCCCTTCTTGTCCTACGTGGATAAGATTGTATAGCAACCAAGGTGAATCAATTGGTTGTGGTTTGGAGCCGATTGAACTGGTTGTTGGTTGAGAATGGTGCGTTGGACTGAGCCTGAAAAACTGCCGTTTGAAGATCCTTTTGAGAGAACTTCCGCAACATGTTGCATAATCATCAGTTCACAGGTTTTGTGTGACTAGGTAACTATCTTTTGAAAATGGACTCAGCTCCTAGTCATTTTTTCCATTTAATTTGGTTTTAAATTTTCCTAGTGATTGGTATGTTCCTATTTCTTATTTTTTTTCATGGTGCACATTGATATTTATATCGATCCCCTTTTTCTCGGCCCATATGAACAATGTAGGACAATTTTTGCCATACTAATGATCTTAAGATATGAAGAGTTATGAGGGGTCTGTATGAGTTTTAAATTCGTTTGAATTTTTCTCAATGTGCTTTGTCGATTAAAAAAAAATAACTTTTAAAAAAAGTCAAGCAAAGGTAATTTTGGAAGTTCTTCCATAAAAAGTAGAAGTCCAACCAAACGGGTCTGAGATATCCTTAGTTTGTGTGGCTTGGAAAGGCTTATTCCCTTGTGAGAGAAGGCATACAAATACCAAAATATAAAAACGAAGTGGGAGTCAGGAGGACAAAGGAGGGTGGGGGCAATGTCTTCAATGTGTGTTCTCATAACTATGAATGAAAGGTTGATTCTTGACTATTAATCACTGTAACTTGAGTGAATCTTTATATACATTTCTCGTCGCTTAGAGTATAAAACGCTTAACAGTATTAAGAAATAAAAAAATATAATTAATTAGTAGGTAGTATGATTCATTATTATCTCCCAAACATATCTTTACGACGTAATGTTTAATAATACTTCGAGAACAAATGTGATTGGCATCATCATCATCTCATTATTATCCTTCAAATCAAAGGGAAATTTTGGATTTGCATGTTTGTCTCCGCTCAAAATGTTTGTCCACCAGCAACCACCACCCCCGCAGGTGGCCCCGCCACCGTCCTCCATGAAGTTGATAATTCAAGTAGAGCCTAAGTAGGACTGGTCTTTTCTTATATATAATATTATCACCTAAATCTATTTCAATCAATTACTATTTAAATAGATGGTTGTTACATCGAGTGTAAATGATAGAAACATAGTAGATTCCTTGATCTTGACTTAAACCATTTTCATTACGATATTAGTATATTCATTGGTTAATCTGTAGCTTTCAATTTATTTATTAAATGGATAGCAATTAATTAAGGTTTCCTAACTTTCAAATTGCATTATTCTTAAAGATAACATTAAAGAGTTGACTGTCTTTATACACCGAGATCTACTTCTCTTTCTTCAATAAAATTTTTATGGTACGGATATAATGCTTTTATCATTTTAATGCGCATATATTATGGAATAATGTTATTCAGTACCACTTGTGTCAAACACTATAGTTTATGTAGTAATCGTATGTCATTAAATGATAGACTCTCTTAAATGTAATGTCAATGTCACATGATTCATTTAATGTAACATATCAAGTGTAGTTGCATAAATTGATATTATAGCACAATGGGGGCCAAATAACATTATTCAATATTATGTCACCATGCACCAGGTCCACTTGCTACATCAAAGCTTCATATAGAGTTCATACTCACATACTTTACCTTGAACCATTTCTCTAACCCAAAAGCTCTCAACCCCTACAGGGCGTTGTTCCCTAACCAAAACATGAAGGAAGATTGTGGCCAACACGACGATGGGAAGAAGAAGCTCTATATTCGCATATTGATCGCCATATCCGCCTTCATATTCATCGTCCTCTTCATCATCCTCCTTGTGTGGCTCATCCTCCGCCCTACAAAGCCTCATTTTATCCTCCGAGACGCTACCGTCTATGCCTTCAACCTCTCTGCTCCCAACCTTCTTACTTCAAATCTCCAAATCACACTCTTCTCTCACAATCCTAATGGCAGAATCGGCATATACTACGATAAACTTGAAATATATGCCTCGTACCACAGCCAACAAATTACCCTCCCCGAATTGCTCCCTTGTACTTACCTGGGACACAAAGATAATACAGTTTGGTCGCCAGTTCTATTCGGGAGTGCAGTGCCAGTGGCGCCATACCTTGCTGTTTCTTTGAACCAGGATCAAATGGTCGGAACAGTGTTGATTAACTTTAAGGTTGATGGAAGAATACGATGGAGAGTTGGAACTTTCGTATCTGGGAAGTATCATTTGTATGTGAACTGTCCGGCTTATATAAATTTTGGTAATAAAAACCGTGGCATTGCTGTTGGAAATGCTATTAAGTATCAGTTGATTATGAACTGCCATGTTGATGTATGATGTTTGAACTAGCTAATGGCTAGTTCTTATTGTTGGTTTGTTTAATTTTTTTTATTTTTTTTTTTTCATTTTTTGTGATTTTGAAGCCCTTTTGGGTTCTTTCAGATATGAATCTATCTAATTCAAAAGGGAAGAACTTACATCAGTTTATTCTGAAGATGTGTTTTGCATTTTAATTTGTGTAGCTTGTATGGAAAAAAGAAGTTTCAATAATTACGTATTAATTTTTTATGTATCTTGACCTGTGTCTAGGTGAATATTGTTTTTCACATGCCACATTTTTTTTTTTCATTTTTTGTGATTTTGAAGCCCTTTTGGGTTCTTTCAGATATGAATCTATCTAATTCAAAAGGGAAGAACTTGCATCAGTTTATTCTGAAGATGTGTTTTGCATTTTAATTTGTGTAGCTTGTATGGAAAAAAGAAGTTTCAATAATTACGTATTAATTTTTTATGTATCTTGACCTGTGTCTAGGTGAATATTGTTTTTCACATGCCACATACATTTGTTTTTATCTTCAAACGCTCGACTCGTACACAAGTTTAAAGCGTAAATTCTCATAAACATCTAATTTTAACCCCATGAAATTGGGGCTAATTTTAAAATGCCAACTATGTTATCGACATGTTGTTTATGACTAAGGCAGTCAAATGTGTATAGCTAAAGGAAGACCGGGTACTACACCATGATGAATCTCTTCTCTGGATCTGTTTTAGAATTAATATTATAAACTAGTAGTAATTACTAAACTTCTTGGAAGGGATTTACTAGGAAAGAGTGACTAGTTAATTACCTTATACATTTAATTATTTATTTATTGATGCAATTGCAGCATAGTTTTAGGATCGTGTTCCACGAAGATTGACAGCAAAATCTATATCATTTCGAAATCACCTTCTTCTTCTTCTTCTTTTTTCCCCTTTCATTTTATAATTCATGTGGATGATACTTTTTATCGAATTAAATTAAATTCAATAAGTGTTCGAGGAATTCTATTTACTTATTATTTCGTTTGCAAGTGACACATGGAAAGGACTTGACTTCCAAGTATAGATCTAAGTATTATTTCGTGTCATGTGCTTTCCACAAAGATAAGTAAGTCGTATTGGTTAGAGATGCAAAAGTTCTTAATTTATCATTTTGTCTACAATGTTAATGTGAAGAAGCAAATGCATCTAATTATATTTTTTCTAATGGAATTCAATTTCGTTCGGTTGAAAAAAAAAGCATTCATGAGGTAAAATTGTGTAATAGATCTATTAGCTGTCATATCATACTAAGTTCAACGTACTAAATATGTGCACACAAGATATTAAAAAAATTAGGAACATAACTAGCAAGAATATTTATCAATTAATTGAAGGTAAAAAGGAAAAAAAAATAAAAAAGGGAATTTGATTAATTATCAATTTGTAATCAAAATTTCAAATCACATTTAGCACATATTTGATAGGGAGATTTTAATCTAAGTTAAAATTAACAATTCATTTTAACTACATATTTTATGAAACTTACACTTTTTAACCACACATTTCATTAATTTCTATCAAATTTACTAAAATTCTGATTTTAATCCGTACAACTTTTGTGTCAATTCAAACAAATAATGTACAATTAAAGACGAGAGTAACACTGAGAAGGTGTCCTCAAGTCCGCGTTTTGCTTAACCTTTAAGTTAAGTAAACAAATTTACATTGAAAAGGACCAATTAAGCTATTTTAAAAACTTTGAGGACTAGCTTGAGATTTAACATAAACATCCAAGAACTAATATTATTTTGTAATTTCAAAATAATTAACACAAGGCTCCAGTTAGGGGTGGCATTTGGCAATGGGCTGAGTTGAGTCTGTTTGATCCTTACACAATCAAGCTCAGCTCTTGTTCGCAAACAAAGCTCGACTCGATCTCGACTCAATTTTTTATCTAGACGAGCCGAGCTTGATAATAGCTCGATCCGTTGTTGCCTCTATCTCAAGCCCGTCTTTAGGGGTCATAGTAAGGTCAATGCAGGAGAAGCCCAGCCAAGCCCAATTAACATGTCCACTAACATTTGTCCAGATCCATCTTGTGTTTTACTGGCTCGGCTCTCATCGCATAACACGTGGCGATTTGTTTGTCAAAGTCAAAAGATAAGCAAAACGCGCCAAATGATCGCCAGCTTAACGGTGCGAATTAAAGGCGCGAATCGACGATTCGAACCTGATTAGATACCCACTTAATAACTATTTTTTAACCAAAAAGAAGGAAAAAAAGTCCACAATCCACTAACTAAAAATTAGAAAACTATTACAAAAAATATTAAATACATTTAGAATTCGATCGCCAATATTGAAATTAATAATGAAAATAGATTATTTTATAATAAGTCACTGTTAGATAAAGTTTTTTCTGAGATTATAACTTTCAAAGAAAAGACACTTTCTTCGACTTTTTGTACTTATCGACCCACAATTCATGAGCCAAAAAAAAAGTTGTTTTTACAAAATGTCCAAGCTACAAGATTTTATAAATGTTGAGTAAATTTATTTTATTTTATTTTATTTATTTATTTATTTATTTATTTTAAACAAGCCACACTTACAAAGAATAGTGACCCATATTGTCCTGTACAATATGACTTCACTCCCCCCAATTACTAGTCTTGATTTCGACATTACTTTCGTACGACTTCAAACATTACCAATTTACACAGTACGTCGAACGTTGTATAGAAGGCTCGAGAACAAATTCGGAACTGTATGGCTAATTTATATTATTAGCAATTCCAATTTCATGCAAACGAGTTGCATCTCGATAGGAGAACCTATATTTGAAATAAGCTTTTTCTGGTAGGATTACGATCCTTTACTTTATTGCAAATAATATTTTATAGTTAAAACCAAACAAAAATAACCCTATTAGGTATTTTTTTTTTTAACGACATTATTGAGTTTAGTATTCGAAACATGCTAGTTCGATTTAGAGGATGTTTGGTTGAAATTAAAATTAGATTTTTTGGTAGATTATAATAGAAGTTTTTGAAATGTGTGGTTGAAAACTTATGAGACTAATAAAAAATGTGGTTAGGGTTAGACAAAACTTCCGAATCGATCTAGAACCGAGCGGCTCTTCTTAAGTTAAATATCCAAACGGGTATTTAAATCGAGAACCAATGGGTTCAGTTCAATTATCGATTCTAAATCAAAAACTGAAGAACCGAATCTTCCTAATTAATTAATTTATTTATTTTAGATGAACAAAATTATTTTTTATTAAATAAATTTGTTAACTAATTAATTTAGTTCAAACAAAAAAATATGATTTTCTTATTTCTAATTTTCTGTTCAAAGCCAACTTAATCAAATTGATCTAAATTTTATTCAAATATATTATTTCATTGTAGTGCCGTTTCTACCATTTTGAAAAAATCGAATTGAAACTCGATTACGCATCTCTTAATTATTTTGAGCTTGCTATCTTTCTTTTCATATGACTTTAATAACTAAATCTAAAAATAAAAAAAAAATACAAAAGATACATAAGATTGAAACTAAATTATTTTCTAAGAGCTAAGATTTTGAACATATCATTAATTGAATTAATGTAATTTTGTATATATTAAAAAATTTAATTGTAATACGAAATCTGGGAACCGAATAAAATTGAACTAAATTGAATGGAATCAAACTTGAATGATTCTATAATTAAATTTGAACTCGATGATTTCACTTACTAAATACTTGAAAATTTTGGACATGAAATTATGAGGTGAATTGTATGAATTTCTAATATTGATATTTACATAAACTGTGGTTCCCTCCACATCTACATCCGAACCAAATTCCCTCCTTCCGTCGTCTCTCCCTCGTTTTCTTCCCCCATTCTCTCTCTCTGCTCCCGCTTTTTTTTCTCTCTACACCCAAATCAGATCTCCCCCAACTCCTCAATCCAATTTAATTCTAACCATATCCCATTCCTTCCCTTGAATAATTCTTATTCTGTTATCTACCTCTAATTTTCTTCACTTTTGCTTTGCTCCAAACCCTCAAAGAAACCTCAAAAATCGACTCTTGAAATTGAAGATAAAAGGGAAATTCTGGCCAGTCTTTGAGCTTTGAAAAAAGATAAAATTGTGCAACAGAAGCAATCACAGAAGCAGATTATGAATAAACAGTTGTCGTTCACTTCTATGAAGCCGCCGTTTGGAGGAGGAGGAGACAGTGACTACCGCCACTTCTCATCCTCGGCCGCCACCGATTATGGTCGTCCACTGCCTAGTCAAGAACCTGATGAAGTCATCGTCGCAAAGACCCCTCCTGTAAGCCCTCATATTTTTATCTTTTTTCGCAAATAATTTTATTCTGTGCATATTCTTCTTGTGTTTGATTTAGTAGGTATCATAGATATAATTAATGATTTTTTGTTCGATTAACAGTTATACGGTTTCTTTTGTGTGTGTTCTTCACTTTTAGGACAAACAATAACTAATCAAAATGCTGATGTTGAAATCTGGGGTCAATGTCTCTAGGTTTGTTTCAATATTTGTAGGATCAACCTAGTTTTAGTTACAAAAGGTGTAATTTATTGCTGTCTAAGGAAGTATCATGCACTGTGTTGGAATTGGATTAGGGTATTTATATAAATCACAGAGGGTTTGACTTTAACTTGTTTTAGTTGTCAAAATATCACATTTTTTTCTGTTATCTAAGTAGATTTGTGAAGTGTATCCGTTTATAATCTTGGAGTGAAATTTATTTTGCTGATATTCATATATTACTTGATTTATGTCTGGAGTTCTTAGTTTGGTTTGACTCACATTATGATCTTTGAGTCTTTTTAGGGCTTGTTTCCAACTGTTTCCTCTCCTCTTTATATGTTCTTAGATGCATATGATTTTTTTGATTGGATTGATTTTTTTCTTCTTCTAGAGTTTAATTTGACTCCTCTAGTTGTGAATACATGTAAAAGTTCGATTTTAATTGAATTAAAAAGCTTTATTTCTATTTGATTTTATCTGCATACTTTTCAACCTCCTTTCCCTATGTGGCTATGTGTGTTCAGCTTTCCCTTTTTATTTGCTGTATCTTTGTATCCTTGCATCCTTGAATTACTTATCCATTTTCAACTAAAAGTTCAATGGTCCTTGTGTTTCTGCAATAAAAATGTAAAGTGAACACAGAAGTAGATGTTATTCCTCTCAACAAAAAAACGAAATTGAAAATCTAGGGATGTGCAAAAATACGTGATGCTTTTTTGCACTTATTGCAGGGAAGAGGATTAAATATTTGGAAATTGTTTGCTTGAGATTTTCATGAAAGCAAGCAAAAGAGAACTTCGTAAAACAGCTACTTCATGGACTTAGTAAACTTTATGACCCTTAGTAACGCATGATATGCCGACAGATGATTTGCCAAAAAAGTACTATCCCGATAAGTTATCGACACATTGATTAATTCTTAAAAATTCTTCATTCATATAGTATAAATTTAGTTTTATACATGTCATTAATTTTTCTTGTTGAAATTTTTTAAATATGAGTAGTTATTTATTAATAACTTTGAGTTAAAGATATATAATATTTCTAATAAAGAAAAGAAAAAACATTACGGTAGAGTGTCCGAGGGTGTCGGTATCGACACGTGCTGGACACAGACACGCTGCTCTAATTAAAGTGTCTGTGCAATAGAGATGGTGAATTTCAGAAACCTTGATTGTGTATTCAGTATCAGTTTGGAGGCCAATTTCGCAATTTACTTAGAAGTAAAAATTGATTTTCAGAAGCTTGAGTGCAATTCAAAATATGAATCAATGTTTAAGTCTTGGTGACTAGCTCTGCTAGTTCATTGTATAGAGCGTTGAAAGAGTTGAAGAGTTCTTTCTGCCACCCATAATAAGTGTGGTTTGTTTGATCTTTCAAGGAGTACTTAATCCATATTGTAATGGAGAAATTGGAGCTTATTCTATGTGCCTTTGCTGGTTGGAAACATTAGCTTATTAAATTTGTGTATTGCATTCCAGCTGAGTGTGTTACTACATGTAGGTTTCCAATGTTATCATCGCTTCTCACAAGCACCTCAGAAATCTAAATAGAGTCTAATATTCTACTATTAGTTGGCCTTATGTGGATGTGCTTAGTGTGTCACTACAAGTAGGTTTCCAATTTTATCATTGCTTCTCACAAGCACCTCACAAATCTAATAGAGTCTGATATTCTAATATCAATTGGCCTTATGTGGATGTGCTTAGTGTGTCACTACAAGTAGGTTTCCAATTTTATCATTGCTTCTCACAAGCACCTCACAAATCTAATAGAGTCTGATATTCTAATATCAATTGGCCTTATGTGGATGTGGTGATTGCATTTTCTTTATTGTCTTGTAACTTGGTTATGATAAATGCGTCTTAAGTAATGCTAAAGTTTTTATCTTTCAGCTTCTGTACTTGAAATGCATTATAAATCCCTTTTGTATTTCCAGCTTTTGTTTATTCTTCTGAGAGATGCTTTAATTTACGTGAGATTAATTGTTCAGTTAAGTTTTAAACATGTTGCTAAGTTTGACTTGTTTACTTTTGTGTCCATTAGCCACTAAAGCGGAAGAATGGAATGGGAGACTGTGAAGTAGGATTCACGGAGCAGAACTTAGGTCCTGGATGTGTTGGTCTCATTAATTCTGCGCTTCAGACACCAGTGTCAGGAAAAACTGGAATGGCCCAAAAAGTTCGAAGGACGGCAAAGGCTAATAAAGCTAGATTGCAAACTCCGGTGGCAAATATTGGTGAGTAGTATTATCGTTAACTCTTTTTGGGCTTTAAGTTAATTATTTATTATTCTTGTGCTAGTGACAGTAGTATCAGTTAATGGATATTGTT